AGGGCTTGTTTGATTCTCTTCAGTGTTAATAGTAATTTGGAAATTACAAAATTAGTTAAAATATTCAAATACGTATCAATATTGTAAATGGAGGAATTTTCAGATCCAATATTCTATCTACTACAACGTCAGCAACTAGTTTAACTTTGAAACTCGCATAATCTAGCTAAGACATCATCTAGAGAAACAATTACTGTAGCTGTTGTAGCAAACAAAACATATTCTATTTGGGCAATACTTCTGGAATGAAAATCTTTGCATTCACATCAAGTAGATAAAATGTATTTAGTCAACTAACTGGTTTGCATAGTACGTAAACGATTTGTGATGAAAAGATTCACATCTTTCGCATCATACCTTTTTTTATCGAAAATATTCTAACATTTCTTAAAAACCGAGGTAAGCTGGTGTGCTCATTGTAATATAAAGGCACATTCAGTCTACCTGCCTACAGTCATTCTAAACTAATTCACACAATAACAATTTGACGCCTTCCCTTGTAATTATGAAGAGAAGAAAAACTACCCTCTGAATTCTTTTTTCGCATATACATAACAAGAAAACAGACTAGTTCTCGTCGCCTATCCTGTTTACGCTCCTTGTGTTTCGCCTATAATTTATCTATGACTTAAATCGTATTCCATGATTATTAAAAATAAATTATTTGTAATAATATCTATGCATACAGAAGTGGTACTGATTTCTTTGTGATTCCTCTACACTAAACGACATGAATCTCCTTACTATCTGATTCAGTGACTGAGTTTCAAAGGAGTTCAAGATTATGATTACCAAGGAATCTGAATAAAATCATTCGACCACACCATTATGCTGTCAACACAACTTGCATTAGGAAGTCATTCATTCATATTCCTGAAAAATTGCTCAGACTAACCGGTCAAAACTGATTGACCACCTTCTTTGTTTAATAAACTATTGCATATTTAGCTGTTAGGATTACACCAAAATTTCCTCTTTTGAATCTTTCTAGATGACGACAGATATCTGTCATCTGTGTTTAGTGCACTACCCACATAAATCACCTTGTACAGTCAAGGTTGTGTACAGGCTATGGTCTTCCTCTAGAAATGTTCTCATGTGGCCACATGTTCACGGCCTCTGCCAGGTTAGTCACATTCACTGCCTTCAAGTGATGGATGCTTTCCTCGCAAAAGTGGATGAGGAAATGTAGACGTCTGCAGCTTACAATCTTACTAATAGACATGCAGGTATACCTAGAGGATCTGAAAACCCCTGACCCATATATATGGCGTACGTGGGGTACACAATCCACTGGTAACCATTGGAACGCTGCTCCACTGCATTGTGGACCAAGCTTCAATTCAAAGCCTCTAGAAGTTGCCATTTTAAGACAACCACGTGCCTCGGTCTGGGTGTCCAAGAATTATCTCAGCCATCGCACAAACATCTCATTGTGCCTATATTGTACTAAGTTTGTGTTTTAATAATAATAATGAAAATTATTGCACTAATTATATTTGGCGCGACTTAAACACATACTCAACAAATCTAAAGCACATATATTGCAATTTCTCTCTACAATCTACGCCTCTATACATATACACTGTGACATGTAGTGAAGTGATTTTTTAACTGTTTTCCAAGTCTTTGTCAAAGTATGAGACCAAGTTGATACATTATGATAACGCCAACCGCATATCATTTCTTGACCTATCTATGGTTATGTAGTGTAGTCTAAACTATTGGATAGGTATGTAAGCTAACTCTAAAGGTTAACATTTTCAGTACATCAGTAAAACATAGTATTCCTTCACGTTCTCGACCCCTTACGCTTCAGAATGTCCGCCTATGTTTTTTCACTGTATTCACTTATTACATAGTGATGTGAACAAAGTGATAATAAAAATGTGAGCAGGATTACATGTCACATCCAACACGATACTAATCAATATCTTCCGTCGTATTTGAATGATTAAACGTACCTTGATACCAAAACTCTTGTAATTTGCATATAGTTTGCTAGGCATTTCAAAATAAGATATGATATTATTCTACCTCATTTGCCTTACTGATTTATTCCAGTTTATCAAAGGAAAGAATTTTAGATAATCTTACGTAATAGCTGGGCATCAGTGGTTCAGTAGCATGATGCTCGCCAACCACGCATCCAGTTCTGCCGATGAACTCCTAAACTTCACATAGACGGTGATAAGCCCGGTAAAGAGAGAAGATTAGGTGTGAGGCTAGCAACTGTATCTCGTAAACAAAAACAAAACCACCACTACAGAACCTTCAAGCCACGAACTTAAAGCACTGTGTTTGACTCGGAACGCAAAGGAATGAGGAAAGAAAAACGTATTAGCTGTGCAAGCTAAAACACTATCATGAAAATACGCCTCAGTGAGATCGCCAATGACACCGGCTGGTGGTCGTCAACCAACAGAAGTTAGAATTCATAGGCCATTGGATTCCATCCCAGTGGCTGAATGAGTGACAGTGAGCTTGGTCTCGTAACCTGAAGGTTTCTGATTCGATTCCTGATGGAGTCGAGGATGAATACATCTGAGGAGTCCAAAAAACTAAGACGAAACAGCTATTCAGTATTCTCTGCTTCTCAAATGGTTCTCTAACTAATATCACTCCATGATCAAATGAAATCCCTTAAAAACCAAATCTTGAATATAGCTTTTCATTTACTTTGTATGACGAGTTACTTCATACTTATTATTCTCGTCATGGGTGGTGTTTGAAGGTATAATGAAAATCTGATTCATTGGAGAAATTTGAGCGAACCAATAGCCTGCGAATAACGAGTCCAGCTGTCTGTCACCAGCTGAACTACAAAACTCAACTGTCAACTAAGTTGTCGTCGTTTTTCTTCGATTTCATAGTGGGCAACAACAAACTAGATATCCCCTTTTGTCAATCTTAATTATGCAGAATTAGAAGTTGTGAACTGATGTAAGAGTCTTTCAACTCATAACTACCTCGGATAATGTTAATATCTATTGGTATTCTATGAGACTAACACAGTTAATATACATTTGTCAAAGGATATCACTTCTTTCACTTATCTAGGTAGCATTGTCGTAACTACAGGCGGATACCGCAGATGTAGGCGTCCAAAGGTGGATTCAAAGGCCATGACAGATATTTGGTAATCTGAAATCAGTCTGAAAACCTACTGCACTCAGTACAAGAAATAAAATTCAGATTTTCAAACACTATGTCAAGTCAGCCAGTATCTCTTTGTAGTTAAGAGACTTGGCACTCATATCACCAGGAACATTTCCAACAGACTGTAGCAGACTTTCACCAACACCTGATCAATGATAAGATCAGATAGTCAACTAGAAAGGATAAGCGACAAGGAACTCTGGCAGAGAATTTAAGCAAGAACCTACTGTTCACTAAATATGCGAAAGAAAGTGGTGATGGATTGGACAGAGGCTGGGAAGAATATTAAGTGACATCACATATCATGCCCTAGGTGGAACCCGAATGCAAAATGACCAGTTGGGCATAGATTAGAGGGTAACAAAAGGTAGATAAAACTATATGGCCTATCCTAGAGCCGGCTAACGACGACAGCCGAAAACAGGATGAAATAAAGATATGCTATAAGTATAAGTGCGTTGGTGGCATAGCGGTTAGGACGCTCGCTGACTATGCACATGGTCCGGGGTTTGATCCCCGGTCACAGACGCACTCCTTTACCTCGCTAAGCCAGCAATAATGCTGGTGAAGAGGAAAGGTTGGGCATGAGGCTAGCAACCCCATCCTGTAAAAATAAAGACCACTGCTACAGAAACTTCAAGCCTCTAGCTTGAAGCCCTATGTTCCACTGGGAACGTGAAGGAATAAAAAAATAAGTATAAAACTTGGGCACTGTGGTAGAGTATGACTCCATTATGGATAAGATTTTACTTTGATAAATCACACAGTGTTGTATAGTAATATTAACTGATGACGTTTCGAGCACAAACTATGGCTCATAATCATAAAAATAATTGTGAAAGTAGTAATGATAATATAAGTAAGACAGAATATAAGTCATCTACTGTTACACCATATAAAGAGGGGACATCTGAGGCCCTACGTAGGATTCTTAATAAAGCAGGAATTAGGGTGGCATTCAAACCTACAAACTCACTCAGAGACAAGCTCTGTAGGCTAAAAGACCCGGTGGATCCAATTAAACAAAATAATATAATTTAAAAAAATACTCTGCAATGACTGAGTTATGTTGACTACATAGGTCAAACTAGTAAATTGTGGGTAATCAGATTGTCGGAACATAAGAATTTAGCTAAAGGAAGAATGGTTGGCCCCGAGAAGATAAGTAATTTAGAAAAAAGCTCAGCGATTACACTACATGCATTAACACAAAACCACATAATAGGGTGAAAGAGGGTTAAGATTCTAAGAAGTAATCTATGTAGGTGGAGGGAGAGAGATTGATTACTGAATCCTGGTTCATTGAGTCTACACCCAACAAATGCAACAGAAATGACTCAATGCAAATACCAGAAATATGGAAGATATTATTACCGGCAGTCAAATCAGAAGAGAATAATAAATAATCTTAATATTCTATTTCAATTCAAACACATCACAACATTTTAAGTTATTATGACTATAGAAACACTCGTCTTATTTCCCATCTAATTGTACTTGATCAACAACACTCATATTATTATCTCTGAATGTACATTATCTCATATTGATTTTTATTTAAATATCTAGTCTATTCCAAACATGTATATAAAAGAAGGAAAAAGTTGTGTCAGTAACTTGATATGCTTATGAACAATAGTTTGTGCTCGAAACGTGGTCATCAGTTAATGTTACTGTATAACACTCTGTGACATATCAAAGTAAAATCTTACCCATAATGAAGATATGCTGTTGAAACCGTATGTCCCAATCAGAATCTAAGGGAATTATAATATTACATAATACATATATATATATATATATATTTACACGAATAATAAACTTTTATACTTTACACATTATCATTTCAGATTATAAAATACAGGTATACATGATAGATTAAATAATGAATTAGAAACTGATATAACATCTGCATAGAATTTTAATGAATTATTGTAACATTTTAAATTTATTGATTCACCGCCAAGCAGTGTGTTGATAAATTCTTCACCGGCTAAATCATTTGTCATAAAACTTAATGCTGCTATTACCTTTTCTACATTATTAAATGGTACAGCTAGTATAATAGACCATGAACGAATTGATGATTGATAACTGTTATTATTATTATTTTTATTATTACTGTTATCATCTTGTCGGCAGAATAATAAATCATAATATAGTACTGGTAGACCAGAGAAATGACCAAATAAATCTTTTATTGTACTGTCGATAGCTTGTCGAATAGCAAAGCATAATTCAGTTGTCGTGAGTGGAGAGTTGATATTCAATGGTTGTTTATCTGCGCTGATAATGCAAAAACGTGTATAAATGTAGTGTAGATTATCCAGAGAGCATAAACGTTTCTCATTTTGAATTCTTCTCCTGGAAGCAGCTTCACTTTTCTTGACATCATCACTATCATCAGCAAGACTGAGAACACCGTCTCTGGATAGAGTTAAGCTGACTTCATGAAACATGTCTAAAAGTAAATTATTTGTAAATAAATAAGATTAAATAAAATTGATATTAGATTATGAGAATAGCCATTATAAGGGTATAAGTACTAAGACTATGTGTGTATAAGGCTTACCTTAGACCTACAACAAATGTCAAGCTTTGAAGTATTCGCTCTAGATCACTTTGCTTTATGGTAAGATAAATTTCCAAAAGATTTTTCCCAAGTTTGATCGTGGATTGATATCAGTCAGAAAACCGCTGAGAACCAGTGAGTACTAGACAGCTGTTTCTTCCTAGTTCGGGACTCTTCAGCTAAGATCAAACAGCCGCTAATACTCCCTGATTTCCTAACTGACATCAATGCATCATCAGACTTGAGATAAATCGAATTCCTACACACCACCTTTTGAAAATTAATCTGATGCTCACTTGTGACGGATTACAGAACGAAATTGCCTAGATTTTTAGGGGGAAGTCGTAACAAGTGGGGTTCCCCAGGTCGGGGGTAAGGACAAATGCTCGTCGATGATATTGACTGACGGTGGTGCTAAGAAAATCGCGAACTGAAAGAAGTGCCAACTAGAACGAAACCTAGGTCCAAGGTTTCCTGCCGATTGCCTCCAACCATCTAATATCATTTGCGAAATTTCTCTGTCCACCACAACAACTGATCTAAAAGGTTATATGTGTTGCAGAAAGTTAAGTCAGACAACTTAAAGCAACAGAGAACCAACCAATATCATAAAATAGATTTATTGCAACAAACAAAAGTGATCTGATCACTAAAAGGGTTAAATAAGATGCGCATAGATTCACAGGATTAAATTCTGTCCATTATTATTTGTTTCGAGTGTGCAGCATAGTGGACTTCAGTAGCATATCTTCATTAAATGTGATTTTCTGCCATGATTATCAGACGGTTTCACGAATGTTCACAAATTTTCATTTCACCTCCTTTGCCCACCTAAATTGTTCACTTCCCATTCTAGGGCTTAGTTTGTGGTTCTATCCATAGACTAGTGTAAACCCCAAAGACGGGTTTACAATTTACACTTTAATGGTTTAAATGTCATCAATGGAGCAAATACTGCACTAAGAGCTCTTGCATTCTTTGAATCTTATGTGATATTAGATGTGAAATAACCTTTTCCTTCAACATATTACATCGTGATTTCAGTAGCGGACAACAGTGTTGTTTCACTTTTTTAAACCAATTTTCATCTTATTCCCTTTTTCCTATAACATTTTGTAACCTTTGGTTGTATGATTCTTATTTCTTTGTTTCCAGTTTTGTTGTTTATTCAGTAGGCGCAGACATGAAATGTAAGCACTGAGACTATTTTTTTCTATTCCTTTACTTTCCTAGTGGAACATAGGGCAGTTTCGGTAGCAATGGTATTTATTTTTACGGGATGCGGTAGCTAGCCCCATGCCTAACCTTCCCTCTTCACCAGTCTTATTACTGGCTTAGCGAGATAAAGGAGAGCGTCGGCCGGGGATTGAACCCCGAACCACACAAGGCGTGGTTGGCGAGCATTCTACCGCTGTGCCACTGACTACTGGGAGATATTGCCTTACTTAAATAATGTACCACAAACTGACTCTACTTTTTCACATGCTCCTGTAGACCCGAATACATTGGACGTTATAGGCATGTTCTCCAGAAATGCAAGTATAGGATGATAAAGTCTTACATTTATGAACGCCTTGTAGAGTCAGGTCATTCATCCCTATGAAATGTATCCTTTAAAGGTATCTACATGTCCAAATTCAGTAACTCTAAAAGTTGACGTTTTCTCCAATAATGTGTAGCCCAAGCTCATGGATAAATACCTAAGGTATGTATTGGAATACATTTTGTTAAACCTCATTCTTTACCTAACTTATAGTAATATTCTTTCTATTCTATTTTATATTTTACCACTTGATTTCATCCTACTTCACATCATCTTCACCTTCTCTGTTGTGATCATCATCGTACTTAAAGTATCTTGACAACAATTGGCAAACTTTTAAAATCTTACTACCAGTTCACCTATTTAGTAACCTTTAAGAGTTTTGTAACCCACCCAGTTAAACATCGTGTTAATTATCTTTATGTTTATCATATGTATATTGATCCAGTGAATTTTGGTGTGGTTGTGTTCTCTGAGCTGGATGGTTTGGTTGCGAAGCTTTCATTGCTCTACTGAGCAACATCTTCAGCGCATACTTCGATGTGAAGTGAGCTTTTAGAATTCTCTATGAGTTTATTAGTCATCTCTTCTAGTAACCTTGAACGTGATTGGTTGTTTTCGTGTGACATTTCACCCCCTATTTTGCTTGTCTCGGTGCTGGCTGCTTCTTTGGTCTGAATGTCGTTAGTCATTCCTTCTGCTAACCTTGAACGTGATTGGTTGTTTTTGTGTGACTTCTCACTTTCTAGTTCACTTGTTTTGGTGTTGACTGTTTCCTTGACCTGAAGTTTGACTTTGTTTTTGTGTGAATTTCTTCGTATGGATTGGTATATTTTGTCAATCTCTATGTGTCTATTGATTGCTGATTCATTTGAATACCAGGCCTCTAGGAATTCTCTGGCATTTTTGCAGTTCCCTTTGTCTAAGATTTGAACATTGTCCCAGTCGAATTGGTGCCCGTGGTTGTCTGCATGTAGTGATATGAGGGAGTGTATGTCGTGTCTTTTGACAGCTAGTTTGTGTTCGTGAATGCGAAGACGAAGAGGGCGTCCACTTTGACCAACGACATCAAATTCACAAGAGAAGAAGAATATGAAAACAAAATCCCATTTTTAGACGTCTTAATCAAACGAACAACTACAGGAAAATTAGAAACCCAAGTATACAGAAAACCAACGCACACGGATCAAATACTCAATTACAACAGTAACAACCCAACATCACACAAAATTAGCTGCATACGTACATTGTTCAAGAGAGCCAGGAATCATTGCAGCACTCCCGCCTTGAGGAAAATTGAAGAAAATCATCTTGTGGACGTCTTCCAAAGAAATGGATACCCACGAAACTTCATCAAAAGACATCTACCCCCAGCTCAACCAACCAAACCAAAGGCCACCAGCGAAAACACAAAGAAAGTCGTCCTACCATATATAAAAGATATCTCCGAAATCACTGCAAGACTATTCAAACCTTTTGGAATCGATGTCGCTCATAAACCAACAAAGTCACTACACTCAGTTCTATGTAAACCAAAGGACTCAACGGCAAAAGAAGACAAAACTAACGTCATCTACAAGATAAGTTGCAACGACTGCGACAAACATTACATTGGTCAAAGTGGACGCCCTCTTCGTCTTCGCATTCACGAACACAAACTAGCTGTCAAAAGACACGACATACACTCCCTCATATCACTACATGCAGACAACCACGGGCACCAATTCGACTGGGACAATGTTCAAATCTTAGACAAAGGGAACTGCAAAAATGCCAGAGAATTCCTAGAGGCCTGGTATTCAAATGAATCAGCAATCAATAGACACATAGAGATTGACAAAATATACCAATCCATACGAAGAAATTCACACAAAAACAAAGTCAAACTTCAGGTCAAGGAAACAGTCAACACCAAAACAAGTGAACTAGAAAGTGAGAAGTCACACAAAAACAACCAATCACGTTCAAGGTTAGCAGAAGGAATGACTAACGACATTCAGACCAAAGAAGCAGCCAGCACCGAGACAAGCAAACTAGGGGGTGAAATGTCACACGAAAACAACCAATCACGTTCAAGGTTACTAGAAGAGATGACTAATAAACTCATAGAGAATTCTAAAAGCTCACTTCACATCGAAGTATGCGCTGAAGATGTTGCTCAGTAGAGCAATGAAAGCTTCGCAACCAAACCATCCAGCTCAGAGAACACAACCACACCAAAATCATCCACCTGAGCTACAAATCTTCTCTATTAGATCCAGTGAATTCTCGGTGCCATTTATGCCTTTTGCCGTAATATAAATACAAATGTACAACTTGAGAATAAGAGTTATCAAAAAGAAATATTTCTTTGCTGAACAAAAACCTGTGTTTTTTCTAAACACATTAACAAACTAGTTTTTAATGCCGTCGTATTCTCTAAGCTAGGTGATTTAACTGCGAAGCTTCCAGTATCGTCTTTCTAAACAACTTCATATTAAATTCTGCGCTGAAAACTTTTGTCTGAAAAGATAATGAAACCATCTAGTTCACAAAAACAAAAATAACACAACCACATTAAAATCATTCACCTAAGCTACAAATCGTCTCATATTATCTAATGACTAGCTTTTATCCGATCCCAAATAGCTCACTGGTAACATCTCTGACTGAAGCCTTGGATGACACGAATCTAAGAGGTGACATTGGTTGCTTCAAGTCTTAGTGAGTTGGTGGTTCAGGAGTAGAAAGCTCGCCAACTACACCTTACGTGATCTAGGTTCGACTCCCAGTTGATACACTCCTATACTCCTTTTAGTCAGTAAATTAGGAAATTTTTGATTATAGCTTGAAACCACACAGTATTTTTGGTACAAGTATGGAATTTTCAGCATGTGATACTGGTAGCCCAAATTTTGCAGGGCGACCATAGATATCAGGTGTGCGTCGGCAGGGGATCGAACCCCAAACCACTTGCATGGTCGGCGAGAGTCCTAACCACTGTGCTACCGACGCACAGTTGACCATGAAGCCAGCAATCACACCCTTTGAAGATGAACACCACCACTCTACTGGAACTTCAAAGCTACAACTTGAAGCACCACGTTCCATTCAAAGCACAGAGGAATAAGAGAAATTGAAAAGTTTTGTCCATCCAGTTGAACAGGTTTGAAATAAATTATTACCACTAGATCTAGTCTAGGTTCGAAGAAAATTTTTTTCGAACCTCCCAACCTTCCTTACTACTGAATAAGAGAGATTTAGGAGTATGCGTCGGCGGGAAACCGAACTTTAGACTAATTAAGTCGTGGTTGTCGAGCATTCCTACCACCGGAACATTGACACATAAGCTTGGCGGAAAGATGAACAATTTTTGAGGTAGTAGACACAATTTCTACTCAAATAAGAGTAAAGTAGTTAAAAGAAACAAACAAAAACACGCAAACACACAAATTCAAAAACATTTCATCAGAAGGCTGTGTCAAAATGAACATTTATTATTATCATGATTATTTAAAGCAAAGGAAAAGCATGAAATAAAGAAATTAATTAGTAAAACACTGATTAGTTAGTTATTTTAGTTACTTAGTGAATAATTATTATTAATCAAAACAAACAAAAAAAGAAATGAAAATAAATGACAATATTATTATTACTATTATTATTATAATGATTATGACAAAGCAAACATGGTAAAAATGGCAGAAGAGTAACACTCACAGACAAACGCACACACACACACGCACGCACTGAATAATTGACCAATCAAAAGAGAAAAATAACAAAACAGAACAAAACAAAAAATTCAATGACAATAGTGTCAGTATTGCAACGGTGAAAAGGATTTGTGTTCAGTTTTACCAACTAGCTAGCTAGCTGGTAGTAAAAACCAGAACAGAACAAAAGCTTGCATAATAAAATGGCTAAAGGTATATTAAATAAATCAAGGGGGGAGGAAGCAAGAGGGGTACGTGTGGTGGTGGTGTTGGCAGTAGGGGTACGCGGGTAGGGGTGTTAGGGTGTATGAAACCTATTGCTTTATTTTTATTTTGGTGTATATTGGTGTTTAAACTTAGTCATTTCGTCGACTTTTGCGGACCAACTTATGTTGAACACTGGATTGTTTGTCTCCCGATTCAATAACACACACACCTATGCATGAATCAGTCATTCCAAGCACGCGATGAGTCCTTTTCTAAAACACAGGACAATGGTAACTAGATGTACGAATAGGTTTTCAATATGAGGGATAAAACTCCCCACCTAGAAACAAATAAAAGAAGTACTACTTTTGCATGAAGTTAGTAGTAGTAGTGGTAGGAGTCATTTTTTAAAACAATTTCAAGGATTGTCAGCACAACAAAAACATACTACTCATTAAAAGTTTGTTAGTAGTAGTATCGGTTAGGTAAGGTTATTTGATGGATATAGCCAATGTTTATTGCTGCCACATTGTATGATGTATGAGACAATAGCATATAATTCGTTGTTGACAATTACTTCTTTTATAGTTCACATTTATATACTTTTCGAAAATAACATTTCACTATAAGCATTTAATAAAGGAGAAAAGGCCAAAAGGTCAAAACGAGTTGAAAAGATTAATTTTTGCAGAAATATTAGAGTAAAGAAGTTAACGATAAGTTTTCATAAGGAAACCAGGTGTGTGTGGGGGGAGGGGAAACAAATAAGTGTATATGTGAAATTAAAATGCACTAAGATAATTTTTCTTGTCTTGTTTATAAGTAAGTATAGAAGTTATGCATTTGTGATAAAAAAACAAACAGATAAAAGAAACTATGGTAACAATGAAGATAATCAAACGTCATCCATACACTCGAACACCTATTGGACACAATAAATAAACGAAGAATACTGACAACATTAAACGGGGAGACAACAAATACTGTTTTCAGATAGAATTTCAGTAGAATTTCTCAAAAATGCTTAAGAAGTTCTGAAAAAGTCAATTGCAAACAGGGTGTTTTTCAGGGTGTTGTATATTGGCAGCGGTGGTGTACACAGGAGTGATGAACAAGTCATTAAGGTGGTCAATGAATGCTGTAATAAGCCAACAGTTGTTGTAGTATGTTATTGAATATATCATATAACGAATAAAACACAATTAGCTATGATGAATTCAACATTACTAAAGCAGCAAATAAAGCCAATATTATATTATAAATAAAATTAAAAAAGAAATGAAATCATTATGTGATATTATAAAGCAATGCAATGAATAAAATAAATTAGTATAAGCAATGAGAGGAAATAATCACACAGTCACACACACAAATGACAAGATGACAGCAAGAGACATTGATTAAGCAAATTGATAAAAAGTACTAAAGATAAAGAGAGAGAGAGCACACACACACAAACGCACAATGATGCGTATTCATGCTAAACCACCAGCGACAACAGACAAATTTCAGCGTTGCCTTCAACAAAGGCTGATACACCACTGATAAATAACCATTTCAACCTTGTAAATATTATGTATGTATGTATGTATGTTGATTGCATTGGCTTAAATTTCAGCCACTGGTAGACCATAACGTTCAGCCAGGGATAAACATGCCATTGGCTGTGGATCTTCAATATCCTCTAGCCCGACTCCATTGATAATTCTACGCGGTGGTAATGCAGGCGGTGGTGTACACGTGGTATTCGGTATCGGTACAGCTGGTTTCGCCATTGTATTCATCATCATTGACATGTTTATGTTATTTTGTATTAAACCGATAGCTTCATCATATCCTGGAGGGGGATGATCTTCATCAGTTGATACTTGTGTGTTGTTATTATTATTATTGCTATTGCAATTGTTCAGATTGTTAGCATTATTTAAACAATTCTCTGTTCCGTTATTAGTATTATTGTTTGAAATTGGTGGCTGAAAAGTGCTCGGTGTTGTTTGATTCTCTCTATGATTATACGTGTCCATCATACCTTCAGTGGCAGCAGCTAATAAAGCCATAGCAGCTTGTTGATCAGCTTCTGTGAGTGAATCACTGCCCACAGACGTTGGAGACATAGTGACAAAACGATTATTAGCTGAGACTGGCATTATTCCTTGTCCACTACTATTCAGATTATTATTATTATTATTTCCAGTATTTCCATGTGGTTGTTGCTGTGGTTGTGGTTGGGGAGTGATTTGATTACTTTGTACTGTAGGCGGATAATTTTGTTGAGACGATGGTATTTGTGTGGCTCCACCAGTAGACATGGGGGTTTGCACTTGACCATTGATCACTTGTTGTTGGTGTTGCGGTTGAAATTGAAATTGATGGTTGACTGGTTGTTGTTGTTGCGGTTGTGGTTGTGGTTGTGAATACACCGTAGATTGTTGCGTGTTCAATTGTTGTAACTGTTGAGAGGTTGGTGGAGGTGGTAGTGGAAATTGTTGCTGTTGTTGTTGGGTGTGAAACTGATTTGAGACCGGTGCTTGATTAGGTGCTAACTGCTGTTGTTGTTGCGGTTGTGGTTGTTGGACAAGATTTTGATTTTGAAATCCAGATATTTGCTGTTGTTGCTGTTGAGGTGGTTGTTGAAATATTTGTGGTGTTTGTTGTGGTTGGGCAGGTTGTTGAAATACTTGTGGTCCTTGATGTTGCTGTTGTTGTTGTTGGGGTTGAAGTTGAGGTTGTTGAATGGCATTCGGTGCTTGAGTCAACTGGGCTGGAGGAAAGTATTGAGATTGTGCACGTGGTTGTTGCTGATTTTGTTGTTGTTGTTGTTGGCCTTGTGGCTTATTGTAGACGTGAGCATTTGTATTGAAATGATTCATTTGTGGTGCATTAGTCTAAAATGGGATAGTTAAGTAAAAGTAGTATAAAAATCACACAGCATATATGGCACACAATTTTGTTTAATATGAAACCAGATTTAAATTATTTGGCTTTTTGGGTTTAAAAGGATTCAGTCAGGAACAAATATCAGATAGAGAACCATTGAAAACAATAGAGCACTAGACATCTGTTTTGTCCCAGTTTGGGACTCTTCAGTATTTCATATTGGTTGGCGGTGATACCACATTACCAATTGAGAAGACTTAAATTTCAAGGATCATTGGATTGAAACTCGATGACCGAATGATCAACGACCTCGCTATGTGATACATAGTGCAGTCGTTGGTACGCGCTTATGAAGAACGACAAACTGGAACGAAGTTGTACAGTGCTTCTTTAACTGATAGATAGCTATTGTTAAGAAACCGGACAACATGATATCCACGATGATTGCAAAACTAATTTGTGAATTCACCGAAGCATCAGCATTATGTGCAAGTCAATCGCATTGATAAAAATGTATCTATGCTCGCCCCTTCTTATTTCCAATTACTGCGTGTGTATTATTCTTCAAGTTTCACTGGAAATTCTACTTTGTTGGCAGATATATATATATGTATATATCAATGTATTCACTAGATTCCTCTGATATAAATTATGTGGCCTTAAAATGCCTTGTAATAGTGCTAGGTGTTTTGTGGTCGAGATACTGTCATGTAGACACATCTAAGCACTACAGGTACCAGTAAGCCATGCAATATATGATATTTGACTGTAGTGTCTGTTTTCTGGAGTACTTCCAAATGTTTTAAAAAAAATGTCGCATGGAAATACTATATTTTAATTACAGCAAACGTATAGGCTTTATGAAAATCCTTGTACGGAACAATAAAATGAGATCTCATAGAGTGGATTGTGATAAGCAGTGGAATCCAGGATATACATTTCGCCCGATTCGCGACTCATCATCTAGACGTACACCTGCATCCCTATTGGGTGATGCCCTTCCCACTGAGACTCGAAGCCTGCATCCATTGTTTCAAATACCAAATAGTTATCCAAAAGGCCGAAATATCAAATAGGACAAAATGCACATTCTGGATTCCACTGCTAACCTAACACCATGTTAATCTTCAGACATCGTCGAATCATCCGTACTAGGAGCAGACATGACAACAAAGACTGAGCATTTTGGTCCAACACAATCAATCAACAAGCGGAAATACTAAATAACTTTAAACAAATTAGGATATCACAGCGTCAGAAATGGAAATAAAGATTAAAGCATGTCTTAGTGAACATTAGTTACTACTAGATCGAACATCGTGCACACCTCTTTCTAGATGTTTCTAAGTTTTTTTTTACCAATTATATATTGAAGTGTGTTGGTTTGCAGGAATTTGATTGATTTCAGGTTTTCACCATGAACTGACACCAGTTAGAGAACCATTGGAAAAACTCGGAGTACTGGATAACTGTTTCACCCCTGTTTGGGACTCTTCATCAGTACACACCCAGGACTTCCTGGCTACAAGACGAGACTGTAGATCATTAAGCCAACGGGACCCAATCCAATGGCCAACCCATAAATTCCAATTTCTGCCAACTCACGATATAGCGCAACCACTAGCGAGTGTCATCCGTGGCGAGTAGTTGTCCTCAAACCCGACCTGCTGTACGCCATTGGTCACGACTTCCCACTAGAACCCAGATAACTTCCTACTTGGGTAGGGCCAGTCACTCGTTGAGCGTCAGATTGATGTTCAATTGTTGGTTTCCAGGGATTTGATTGGTTTCAGGATTGGCAGATGAATTTACAGAATTTGGAATTCATGAACCATTGGATCAGGTCTCAGAGGCTCAGTGGTCTACGAGCTCGCCTTCTAACCAGAAGGCCCTGTGTTCGAACCCCAGCGGGTGAGTATCATTGAAGGGTCTCAGACTAGGATGAAACAGCTGTCCAGCATTCCCAGGTTTTCCAGTGGTTTCCTAACCGATGTCAGTTCATGATGAAATCCTAAAACTTATTAATTCACTGTCTCGTTTGTTGAATTACTCAGAACATCTTACACGCTTTATTTACATATTTTTTGTATTATGTAATGTATACTAAAAGATCTAACTTACATTGGAAAAAATTCCTTGAGAGGCATTATTTGCATCAGAACCATAATTTGGAGCCATTGATTGAGTCATCAACATTGGTGATTGACTAGCTGTCATCATTGCCATAGAAGCAGGTTCTGAATAAATAAAAACAAAGAAAGGGAAAGACAGACAATAAAAGTGATTATTTCAGTATATTCAATTACAATAGGCAATTCAAATGTTTACTAGAAGTATTTTAAAAGACTTGAAGATTTGATTTACCATCCTAGACAGTCGGTGACACAGCGATAGAATGCTCACCAACCACACATGCGGTCCAGGATTCAATCGCCGGCCGATTCACTCCTTTACCTTGCTAAGCCAGTAACTAAGACTGGTAAAGAGGGAAGGTTGGCTATGAACCTAGCAACCCCACCGCGTAACAATAACCACCACTGCTACTGGAACTTCAAAGATCTAGCTTGAAGCCCTATGTTCCACTGGGGGAACGTAAAGGAATAAAATAAAAAATAAATAATTCTAGACAGTCTACTTTGAACCTTCATACAGTTCTCCACATTAAATAAACCTGGATAAATGTGCCAGGATAATATGAGTTCATCTTTTATTATTTTGAGGATTACTCTCAACTGGCTTCAACCTGAACAATACAAAAAATAATAAATTACATATATTCTTTTCGCAATGACAAGGGGTTATTGATAGGAAGCAAGAGTAACAGAAGTCTGGAATGATGTGAGTTGTTAAATTATTAAGAAAGAGTGAAAAAGACTGACTATTTATAGCATAACTAGACCAAAACTCTTGAGAAGTTAAAATTTTTTTTGGTAAAGTAAAGTTTAGCTAGAAAGAGTGTAACGACACAGTAGGTTGTGTAAAGATAGAAAATATGTTTTTATAAAATAGCGAAAAAGTGGGTAAGGTGAGTAATGTCCAGATGATACCATGACATTTCCTAAACGGGACAGGAGATAGAAGAGAATACATGACGTAATAAGATTTTATACTCTAAGTGTAATCATCAAGGTAGTGCAAAACTCACCACTGTCTCTTTTTGTGTACATAGATTTGGTTATAATTGTTTGATGGAGATTACCTCAGCAAAACTTTGAATCTGTTAGTTAAACTTTTTGTTACCTGTACTATTGTTATACATTCCCTAATTCTGACTTATATTAGCCTATAACCTTAAAATAACTCTAAATTGCTGTTTTCACTGACTCTTGACGACTTTTGTATGTCCCACTGTTTGTGAAGGCTGCATTCTTACTGGCTGTCAACTCTTTAAACTAATCAGTGAATTCAGTTCCTGCCAAGGTCATTTAAGATAGCTTTCAGGTGTTTCAACTGTAGTCTGAGACAGTAAAAGCACCCTTGTCAACGGTCTGTCTTTTCTCCACATTTTCATGTACTGGTGATTGACGTAGTGATTAGCAATGGAAGTATGTCTTTTACAGCGCTAAATTTATATCGCTTGGAGTGTACTAGGTTATATAACCATTCATATCAATAACCCATTTGATAAGCCAGGTATTATCATTGGCTCACACATAAAAAGCGTGAATCACAAGCATTTGAATAAATCTGCTCTGAATCTCGTCGAGTTTCCTCTAACTTTCTAACACAGCGAGAGAGAGAGATGAGGTAGCTCCGTCTAAGATATGAGACACCGAGGAGCATCGAACAAGAGTTACAGTGAAGTGAGAAATCAGAAATTACTCAAGTATTTTTGAATTTGTGATTCAAATTTGTAGAACACTCTTAAAGAGTACTATATAAACGCTATAATTTTGAAGTATATTTTTAAAATTCCCACTTAATGGTCGACTGCTTAACTTGAGAGTACGAGAAGACATGAAAAATTTGTGATATGCAGAATTCCCTTTCGATTGAAAAAATGTCTAGCCTTGATCATGAAAACATGTGGTTTAGTGGCTTAAGCACTCACCGTCCTTCGAATCTCGCTCCCCTTACTTCAGCCTCGGCAGTTGAGTAGTATCATTAGTTCTTACACTATAGACATGAAGCACAGGTTGCTATTAGATAACTAGTCCTAATCTAACGAATAAACAATAAAGCCATACGTGATACTTGAATTTCAAACGAGAAAGTAACCCTTTCATGCACTTGACCAGTTATTGGCATGTATTTCCCACCTCTCCTTCACTTGAGTTCCTAGTAAAACATAAGGCTTTAAGCTTGGGCTTTGACGTTTCAGTACTGGTGGTATTATTTTTATGAGATGGGGTCACTACTAGCCTCATACTCAACCATCTATCTTTGCCGAATTATTACCGATCACTCGAGGTTTAGGAGTGCATTTGTCGGGAATCGAACTTGGACCACGTGCATGCTTGTCAAGTATTCTACCGACTGGTGCATAATGCAGTCCTGTATTGACTTATTTATAAAAGTAATTATTTTTAAAATAATATATTTTGAATCACCATCCAGTAGTGCAATGTCAAGTCAGTTCTTCTATATGGGTCAGAAACTTGACGTGTCACCAAAAGCATTTTGAACAGGCTGCAGATATTCATCAACAGCTGTCTGCCTTGACCCCACATACTAAAGATTCGATATCTGGCCAGGAAGAATGAGCGACAGGGAATTCTGGCAGAGATAACAAGCCAACCAAGATTCTATTACCCAACATATATGCAGTAAGAAATAGAGATGGATCAGACACACACATACACTGAGGAAACCGTTGAGTGAGTTTACACACCTGGCAGGTCTTCGAGTGAACCTCAAATAGGAAGCGAGTGACAAGTTGGGAGTCAGTCCACCGGCGACATGTAGAAATCATCTGAGGAGGAGATGAAAGCCTATGGACAACCGCAGAGCCAGTTAAGAAAGATTGCAGAGAACAGAATGAAATCGAGATGTACCGCTGAAGCCCGATGTTCCAGTCACAATTTAAGGCAATGATTGAGATATTTAGTTTGGATAATAATTTATGATCAACCAGTCGATTTTTGTATTTAGTAAAATAATAAAAGCTTACCTCCGAAACCTTGATTTGTTGGATAAGCGAATGGTTCATTTGGTTGTTGTTGTTGTGCTGTTGTGTTGGATTTTGTGATTGTTGTTGAATCAGTTCATTTGACACCAGTGGCATTGAATTTTGACAGCTACGTGCAACAGTTGTAGCATTAACAACTCCTGAACCACTTGATGATACTGTTCCATTAATATTTCCTAGCATAACTTGACCATTTTGTAAATTATTGTTGTTATTTGATAGGTAACCAGTATTTGTAAATCCGGTATTATTAGCCATGCTATTATGACGTAAAGTATTCCCGCCTAGCGTATTACCTGAATAATTGAATGCTACAACACGTCCACCTGGGATTACAACATCCGGCAAATCCATTACATCAGCATTACTCATCATCATATGATGTTGACCATTCAACAGAGTACCTGTATTCGATGGTGAATTGAAATGCTTCGATCTTAATAGACTTGAACTACCACGAAATCCATTCGGATCGTCACATATCTCTTTTCCACCAATATAATACCATAGATTTGTTGAAAACAACTTGTTATTTGTATAATTTGAATGCATAGCATGATGACGTCGACGACATGCCCATATTAGAATGATTAAAAACAATACTGGTATTAATAAGCCTAAGATCAAGGCACCGACAAATGTCAGTCCAAAGTATTGTGCCCAACTCCATTGATTTGGTAATGGTGCAGAAGCTTTCTCCAAAGCTGTTAGTTAATTAAAAGAAATACAAGTATTATTATTGAACAAGGGGGTGGGGAGGATTTCCCTATTGATCGGTAACATTAAAGACCTGATTCCGGAAAAGTGAAATAATTTCCTCATACACTCAGTAAACTTAGAAGTTAGAAGGGATTACCCATAACAAGTCCCATCTAGAGAATGTAATTCATCTTATCATCTTGATGTTTCATTTTATGTATACTTAAAAGGTTACACTGAAGTCGATTTATTATTATTATGTGATATTTTGAAAAGTTAGGTATAATTAATTTTTTTTTTTTTTTTTTTTGGATTTACAGCTTGATTTCCACACCGTATTTTCAGTACAAGTGTGGAACTTTCAGCATGGATATCGGTTGCCCAAATTCAGGCATACCATAGATATCGGGTGTGCGCCGGCAGGGGTTCGAACCCCGGACCATGTGCATGGTCGGCGAGAGTCCTAACCACTGTGCCACCGACGCACAGTGGATAACCCCGCCTAGTTTTCTAGCGGGTCACAAGCCCAAGAAAAGAGGGAAGGTTGTGCGTGGGGCTGGCGACTCTACCTCGGAAAATCAATCAGACTGCTAGAGAAACTTCAACGAACAAGAAAGTGATTCATGACGGAAATCTCAGCTAAGCTCTCGAAGTGAATACAGAGAGGAGTAAGATAAGCCGGCTGCCTATTATCACCAGTGATATTCTTAATTGTGGTGGACTAGATTATGCGTTAGACTGTGCACTGGGATTGAGAAGACAGCAATACGCTAGACGACCAATAAGAAAACCCTAGAAGATCTGGATTTCTCAGATGATTTATGTTCAATGTCACGAAGGCGAAAACCAAGAAGTTGGCAGAAGACGCAGTCAACGAAGACAGGACTTCAAGTAAACATAGAGAAGACAGAGCTGAAAAAGATAACCAACGAACAGCAACAACAAACAGCGCCAATCACCATCAACGGGAGGGATTTAACAGAGGCTACTTCCTTCACTTACCGAGGAAACATTGTTTCAACCACAGACACGCTGAACAGAAGAGGGCTTCAAAGCCAGAATCAGAGAGGCAAGATACGCCTTCATTAATCTGAAATCGGTTTGGAAATCTTCTGCATTCAGCATAAACAACAAGATTCGGATTTTCAACACAAATGTGAAGTCAGTCAGTTCTCCTATATAGGTCAGAAACTTGGCCAGCACGTCATGGAAAGGATTTTCAACAAGTTATAGACTTTTATCAACAGCTGCCCTCCTTCGCTAGCTCCATACTGAAGATCAAATGGCCAGCCAGTCAGAAAAAATTAATAAAGTAACCAAGATCCTTTCGTTCAATATATATGTAGAAGAAAATGGAAATGGAGATAGCACACACTGAGGAGGCCGTCGAATGACATCACGCGAAGGCCCTCGAGTAGAACTCGAATGGGAAACGGCAAGTGGGTCGTCCGAGGGTGACATGAAGGAGCTCGTGAGAGAAGAGGTGAGAAATTATGGTCTATCGTCGAGCCAGATGAAGAGGACTGCAGAAAATAGAAGAAAGTGGCGATGTGTTGCCGAGGCCCTATGTCCCACTGGGAACCCAAGGGAAAAATAGTAATAATATAATAATAATGGACTCATTAGACTGATAAAGTTGGATGGAAGGGAGGGTACCTAGTGAAAGTTGAACCCGACAATTATACTTGGTAGTTAAGCTGATCTTTGTATAACACTAGACTTAAGAATGTCAGAAACTGAGAACATCAATGTAAGAAGGCTATTTTTATTATAAGTTGTGAAATTTTCTAAATATAATCGTTAACATGGTACCAGAAGGTTAAACATCTAATCTTACGCGTTCAACAGTTTATTGTCGCGTATAAGGTTAAAATAAAATTAAGAAAATGTTTAGAAAATTTAGGTGAAAGTGTTCATTCCTGTTAGTAAATTGAACTGCTTATAAGTCGAAAGGACGTAGTTTTTCATCGTATACCAATATCATCAGTACGAGGAACACGGATAACTAAAAAGTATCCAATGGTTATATACTTCTTAGATCTTAATCGCAACTGAAGGCACTAACCCCGATGGTGGACTGACTACAGACGAATTCTCAGCACGGATATAAAAGGCTCATGTCATCTCTGCCATAGATGTGATAACCGGTGATCGACTAAAGGATGTCTGTACTGAGTGGTAACACGCTCTATCCTTCTTCATGGTTGTGAGACATACATGGTTATTGAAAGAGGAAGATAAGAAAACGCTAGCTGTTTATCACGACAGATGTATGTGCTCTTACTCCCGTATTAGGTGGTGTAATATGATGAGTAACATCGAGGTTAGAAGTAGAGTGTTAAAAAAGCAATGGAAGTCAACCGATGAGGTTGTGAAGCTACATCGATTGAGGTGGTTATCCCACGACCTGTGCATGCCAAGGCACCGCCTTCCTTGACGGTCAATGTTACTTAATATGTGATTGGTTTGGAAAACCTGAAATCAACCCATGACGTTTATGACTGTTCGTTTGAGCCACATATGGAGGTGTGAACTGCCTGACTAGGATTCTCGAAATGCTAAGAACCACCACTGGCTTGAGACTGTTGGTGATATGGCTCAAAATTGTTCATAATAGTTCAGATGATCTCACTCTTTGGAAACTACCAGATACATTAAGCGGTCATGTTATGCCTCATTATTATTCTATCTCCAGTACATTTTTGTTCATTAAAGTTCCTTTGGTTGTTTTTGTTTTCACTACCTTTGTATGCTACATAAAGTGTGGCAACTTGAATCTCTGTGCGAAGGTCTACGTTGAAACTCAGTCATTCAGGTATTTAGGCAAACACAAATAGCCCAATGCAAGTTGAAAGTTAGGACGATTATTTCATAAGGTTAGCAGTTTACCATTCAGACAATGAGTTTACAATTCAACAGCCTGTATTCTCTAATTATTCCTATCAACTTAAGATGTGGATCGAAAGTAAAGGCCTATCTTAAAGAAAACCTAAAAACAATTGTATCCCATTTATAACTTACCACTGCATGGTTCAGTATAAGAGGTAATATTGTCAACACAAATTCTAGCATCCGGATATCCAGCAGGAATTGTACCTTCCAGTATCAGCTATAAGATAAAATGAAAATATTAAGAATTAATAAGTATATAGTTAATTGGTTTGTACAAGCAACAGCTGAAATGACTTACAACACTATACGAAAAGCACAATTTTCAGAACAGCTTTCCGGAAATATGATTTTTAACTGTTAATAAATAGGCTTTTCGTAGAGTTTGTAAATCATTTCAAGCGTAATTGATAAAGCCACATACATATGCTTCTTCAAATATTCACTAAGCACTGATAGAGCCCAATTCTACGGTGCAAGTAACTACATTCAGTTTATGATTATCTAAGCATAATTTACAAACAATATCTGAAAAATACATGAGTTCACTTAACCCATATTCTCGTCATTATCTTATCAGACTTAATAAATGTAACATAGTTATTTACGACAAAGATGAAGAAATACATGTCTGTAAATAATTGCACTAATTAATTTTATTAAAACTGGCGTCTTAAAATATATTAAGCTAATTATTTTTTCAAACCAACACTTGAATATCAATGAGATGCTCACTAGCGACTTGCCCTATTCAGGTAGGTAGTTACCTGGAGTTCTAGTGAGAAGTCGTGACCAGTAGGGTGTAGTAGGTCGGGTGTGAGGACAAATACTCGCCGAAGACATTGGCTAGGGGTCGCGCTATGTCATGAATTGGCAGAAGTTAGAATTCATGGGCTGGCCATTGGATCGGGTCCCAGTGGCTTAATGGTCTACGAGCTAGCTCGGCTTGTAACCAGAAGGTCCTGGGTTCGAATCCCAGTGGGTGCGTACTGATGAAGAGTCCCAAACTAGGACGAAACAACTGTCCAGTACTCTCAGGTTTTCCAGTTGTTCTCTAACTAATGTCAGCTCATAATTATTTTTTATTCTTCCACGTTCCAAATAGAACATGAGGCTTCAAGTTTTGAATTCTCGGCTTTAGTGGTGGTGGTGATGTCTATTGCAAGAGGTAGAATTGTTAGTCTCACACACAAACTCTCCTCTTTTCTGGGCTTACAACCGGCTAGACGAGGTTTAGGGCTGTGTCGACTGGGAATCGAACCCTAGACCTCCTGCATAGCTGGTAAGCAACCACCAAACATTGAACTACTGACCCTCAACAAACTTCACTAGTCAGGAGTTATAAAATTCAATGGATTTTAAATAGGTGAAATATCTGAAGTAAAGCATAGCATAGGATAAATATAGTTGGAAGAGGTTTACATGAAGCTAAAAGAATTCACTGTCCATTACGAACTAACCACATTATCTGAGCAAATCATTAAAATTAAAATAGACAGATGTCAGATTAAAAACTCACCAACAATATGTTGGATTTTGAATGAAAATAAAACCTGAAAACCAGTCAAATGTTTTAAAATGTAGAGTAGGTGGAGTGAGATTTGAAGTGACTGATCCACTTGACTGGGGAATCAAAGTGCTTAAGCCAATGAGTCACTTTATTAATAAGAACATAATTCTAATGAAACAACTCGCAGGGTACTAGATGCTAATAAGTCTCTCTAGTCAAGTGAATTCACAGTGGAAAAAAATTGAATAAGCTGAATACTGATAAGTATAAATCTCGTCATATGAATAAGGTTATTTTACAAAAGTCTCTCAATATTAGACAGTACAAAATAAAACGAACACATTTACTTAGAAATAAAAGTGAACAGAATCTCTTCCATAAATACTAGGTAAGCAATACGATTATCTTCCAGAACAAATCACTCATTAGAGTTCATTTCTAATGAATTGTCCTTCAAAATAATTTTTATACACCCCCAATTTTTGGGCAGAGTGGATTAAGGTGCTAATCATCTGACGTCAGTAAACTCAAATCTACTGATCAGAGAATGTGCAAATGGTCTACGCTAAGCTGCTAGCATGACAGCTAAGCGCCTACGTAAGCAACTCACACGTTCTTTGATGTGTAGATTTCAGTTTACTAATATCACAGGCGATCAGTTGACTATAGACATTAATGACAGCATAAACTTAAAGTAAATATATTTTACAGGCTTAAACCATTGGCTGCTGAGCTTCTCACAAATGTGATTGGATAATCAGACAACCAATCTCAAAAAACCAATCAAATTAGTCGTTCGGTAATATATATATATATATATATATATATATATACATATATATCAATAATAAAAGTTGAAAGCTCATCCTTACTTACAGTATAATTCGCTCTAAAGAAACTCAAGTATAACGTTATTCTGCACTTGCCAATAGGAAATATGATAAACATAATACCATAGATAATGACACATTTTGGAAATGCCCTTGTTAAAGTGTTTTACACATTTAAGAAGCAATCTATTTCCCTGTTAACTCAACTTCCTGATATGAATCCTGAAATCACATAATTATGTAAATTTCTGTGTCATTCTCATACCAACTAACTAACTTCGTGACGATAATAAAAAAGGGCACAAGTTAACCAACAAGCAAGGAATTGAATTATAAGGGAGGATATCGAAATGAACCAAAGAGGAAATTGCAATGATTGTAAGAGACTAATCAATAATACACACTGGAGGGAAAGAAAATCAACTTCAGAAAAAAATGAAAAGAATTGCAGTAAATTATTGAAACGGAGGACAAAAGAATAAAAAAAGACATCCAAGTTAACTAAATGACTACCTTAAAATCTTGTTCAGTTGAATTTAAATTCACTACAACTGGAATCCATTTTGTTGAATGAATTATTTTATTATTATGATCATTGGTAGATGAACTCCATAATTCAGCATTTCCACTAAACAATAATAAGTCAGACTGTTGAGAAATAAAAGATATTACATACCAAAATATACCGAATTGTTTAGTCACTGGATCAAGTGATGGTTTGCAAGATCTAGGTGATTTCACCGAGAGGAAAAAAGTAAAAAGTGGAAAATTACGTATGTAAAAGAATTTAGGCTGTGTATGAAGGATAATATTGATTAGAAGACTTCAAGGAAAGTGGAAATAAGGAAAGAAGTGGAAAAAAAGACAAGACGTCAAACAGACTTTTTAAAATATTCACAAACAAACACAAATGACAGGACACTAGATATTAGTATTGGGTATTAATTAGTGACATGTGTCTAATGCCTCCTTTCGTGCAGATTGAATCCTATCAGTCAAGTTTGAAGTGTGGCCATAATGCCACTAGGTGGCTGGCCATCATGGTGCACTCTGAGTTGTTATTAGATATTTGAAGGAAATAAGCAGTAATCCATATCTGACCTATGTTTCATGCTTGTTGGCACTCACCGGTCAGCAGAGCGTATCATTAATCTTAAAGGAACTCAGTGTTAACATTTCTGACTGAGATAATGGGTCACCAGGTTTCGAATATCAGAAGGGACACAAGTTCCTTCAAGACTGTGGATACGTCTTGCTGGTTGAGTGCCAAGAAGTACAAAACCAAGGTTAGAAAAGGTTTCATTGTTGATTGCCTTCCAATCATCTAACAACAATTCAGAAACGTACTTTCTTCAGCCCAAGTAATTATATAAAGCAATTGACTGAGATATAATTCACTAAACAACAAACAAACTCGATGGGTATAGATTAGCCTACAATCTGAACTTGTCCAGTTATATACCATATCTACTTAAAGAGGCTGCTTTGAGTCTGTGAAAAAGTAAGCGGGTATGCAAAAAGTAAACAAATATTTGGCCTCTATTTTCATTATGAAGAAAAAAAGGAAATGTTACTAGTCATCAAAAATCACTTGCATCTCCATGCGGTTTGGGGGTGGGGGTGGTAGAGGCACACCAATTTTGTGAGAGGGCTAGTGATACCCAACCTAACTCCCCAAATCTCAGTAGGTAGAGCAGGGTTCCAGGGACCCATGACCTACTGGTTTGAAGTCGATTGCCCAGACGAGTGAGCCACATAACCTAAGTAAAAACGATAACTGTGTGCAACGCATCAGTAAATTAAACAGAGACTGATCTGTAAGCAAGATGAGCATATAAATTTCACTAGCAGTGAAGTGTTTAAGACAACAGAGAAGGCATACAGAAAACTCCTCAATTCTCACATTTCTTACACTCTCTCAAGTCTACAATTCACCAGGAATTAGTGTTTTGCAATGTCCCAGAATTAAGTTTAAACTAACTAACTAACTATCATATATTTTTAACGTAGAATAACAGAGTAGTTATGGGGTGTCAAAATAAATAGTTGTATTTGTGTGACAAACGTGCTAGGCTGAAATTGATTACAAAATATTGTAAAACGGGAGACAATGGTGATTAATCATAATAGATTTGTAGAGTGTGGGGTAGGAAAATTGACAAGTCAGTTCAAGGTTATAAAAGGTGTCAGGTGAGTGGCTAATACAAAGTGGTCTGTGTTAAACAGGAGATAGTAAGACTGCAATGAGAGGTTCATAATGAAATGACGAATATGTGAAATGAAACAGGTGAAGGCATATATTGAGAAAAGAGATAATATCACTAATAATAAGTCCGGATAGCATAAATGAAAAATTCGATAGTATTGAGAGAATGTTTGCATGAAGGGTATAAATTATGACGAATAATAATATTAATAATAATATTTGTAATAATAAGCAAAGGAAAAAAAACCAAGAGGGTTAAGGGGAAGGAGAAGAATCATCAATCCAAGTTTGGCCACGGTAGGAACAGCGTCTGGACGTGTTCTTTTTGGATACTATCTCCTGTTTAACACAGACCACTTTGTACTAGCCACTCACCTGACACCTTTTATAACCTTGAACTGACTTGTCAATTTTCCTACCCCACACTCTACAAAATTATCATATATATATATATATATATATATATATATATATATATATCCAAATTATCTTTGCCTTTATTTATTATTTTCTATAGTTTGGTTTGTAAGGGTTAGTTATGTTTTTACGAGTTGATCACGGTATGATATCAGTTAGAGGACCATTGAAAACCAGGGAGTGCTGGACAGCTGCTGTTTCATCCTAGTTTTGGAATCATCGGCAGTACGCACCCACCGCCAGGGTTCGAACCCAGCACCTTCCCGCTACAAGGCAACCTCGTATACCATTCAGCCACTGGGACCCCATTCAATGGCCAGTGCATGAATTCTAACTTCTACCAATTCGTGATTTAGCGCGACCCCAACTATTGTCGTTGGTGGGACATCCATCCACACACGTGACATCTAATTATTATGTCATATGATGTCTTTATTTCTTATATCACACTTTCTCAAGCATTTATGAAGTGAAGCCACTGAAACTGATTGATATACCTTATATGTGTCACTGAAAGATCTAATTCACAAGTGATTCCAGTGTAAAAAAGACGTTGTTGATTAGAATAGAAGATTCAAATGAATAAACACAAGTATATAAATGCACCTTTCCGTGTTTAGACAAGTCATATGAAATAGTGAATTGAAATTTTGATTTGATAGAATAATACCTTTACAAATAAATTTGAGTAATTAATGGTCAGATTGTTTGATATAGCCTGGTTAGCAGATTAATACTGTAGAGGTAGTAAGTGATAAGCAAAATTGAAATGAATATCTAGGTCACTGCAGGAATCCAACCGGTGACCTCTGAATAATTAGTCTGGCAGTCAATTATATCGGTTGCGCAATTCAACCGGTAACCAGGTCATAGTTTGACTGCAGTCACCATGGGTAACGCTCAACTGTCATGTGAATGAAAAATAGATTTTAACTTATATAGATTGCAGTGGGATGATGACTTCTTCACCAGTTGAGTCGAGTAGGTCAACAGATTGAGCATATGACTAGTAATTTGGAGGCAGTTGGTACAAACCCTGTTGCAACCCAGATAGATTTTCATTCGTTAACACTAATAGCTAAAATTTCTATCTGGAAGTACTGAAAAACACCCGACATACGAATATTTGGAGAAATACTGTTATACTACATCTGAAAGAAATCTTATAACTAAGCGATATATAAGTTCTAACTACGATCGTACAAGCAGCGAATAGTATTAAAGGAGAAATAAATTTCTACTGTTGTATTCTTCGAACTAGCAAATTTACAAAAGACGAACCACGCAGATGGTCAGGGGTTCGACCTCCGGCCGACGAACTCCTTTACTGTGGCCAAGATGGTCTAGCAGATAACACTTTGGCGTTTGAAACTATGGGCATTGTGTTTGAGTCTAGGCGGTAACAACATCAATCACTGGGGAATGCAGGCATATCCAGATGACGAGTCCCAACTAGGACGATATGCGCATCCTGGATTCCATTGCCAGTCATCATCCACCAACTGACTTTTGAGAATCAGTGGCACAGCGGTAGGATGCTCGCCAACCACACCTCGTGTGGTCTGGGGTTAGATCCCCGGCCGACGCGCTCCTGAACCTCGCAAAGCCAGTGAATAAGACTGGTAAAGAGGGAAGATTGGGCATGAGGCTAGCAACCCCATCTCCTAAAAATAAACACTACTGATACCGAAACTTCAAGTCTCCACTGAGGGAACGTAAAGGAATAAAAACAAAAAAACAAACCCTAATTTGCCTAAGTAGCCAACCTGAATCCGCTCCTCTGAGCTGAGTCACAACCCGATAGACCGCTGCTGGTGAGCTCGGCCTCGAGCTAGTGAAACAACCCTCCGGTGTTTACATCTCTTTGAACTTGTTAACAAGCACTACTCTTTGACGTGAGCGGTTTGAAATTACTCATATCAATCAGTCAATCAATCAGTAATATAAAGCATTACACTTATGGCATCAATGAGACCATACATAGTGATTTTCCACCTCGAACTGTGTAATTTTCAAATGACAAAATAATGAAGGCAATTTAGTGTTATATAAAACAAATTTTACACGATTTCTAAACTATATGACTGATACACAAAGTGAATACATGAAATCACATTCAGTTACATCCTACATGCGTAAAGCAGTAATAAATAAAGATTATAATTATAATTTTAGGCATCGTCAATTATTTTTCTATTACCTTATAGTCTGTATCAGTTGATGGTAAATCGACAGTAATACTTTGCCATCCAACAATTAATTCACTTTTAGATCTGAATAAACCTTTATTATCACTAGAAGATAGAAATGCGTATATAATTATGATACTAAGATGCAGAAATCACCCTACCATGTAAGTGATGTGTCACCGCCTGGTCCTTTTTGGACTGTGATGCATGATCTACAACACAAAGTGATAAAAAGTGTGAGAAACGGAAAACTGCAACAGCAGTAACAACGACAACCGTGAATAGCTTTAGATATATAAGTCTGGGGAGGGGGGGGAAGAAACAATTGAAGTGGAAACAAAGAGAAAGAGGATAGAAAAGGAGAAAGTTTTCGCTTCAATCCACACAAGCAGTCAGTTATGTATTCACAAGCACTGAAGATGTCGTCCTGAAAGACAACGCGAGCATCGTAATTAAACCATCCACACCCGAACACACAACAACACTGTAAGCCTCACCAGTATATCCAAAATAAACAGAAGACAATATATGGAAACTCCCAATCTGAGGATGACAACATAAGTGGCACAGATAATAATCAGTGAAATACGAATGGGATGAGTGACTTAGAGTTTAAAAATCAGGAAGGAATTTTAATTCAACTAGTTTCATTTGAAATGGCATAAATAGCACAGAGAAAGATGAGGTGACACGCTACAGAAAATGACTACCATGCGATGCAATACGATACACAAAATTGTATAAGCAATATGTTAAACATACTAATTTCAGGGTATTCGATCAAAACTAGCTTCACTTTTGAAAGTTATTTTACAAACTTGATTTTATCAACAATAAGGATGGAAAAACAAGGATCTGATTGATTTCAAGTTATATCACGAATAGTAATAGGTTAGATAGCCATTGAAAGCCAGG